CAACTAAATAAAAATACACTTTCCTATCAGTTCAGTTCAGAAACGCCATGTTCTTTAGACTGAACTGTCGCGCTTCTCGTTGCGTCACACCTCAACCCGCCTCAAAGCCAACGCTGATTGGACGTTCGTTCGGCTAGTTCAAAACGACCCTTCCCAGTCAAACGCCAGCCGAATGGCAGCCAACTTCCCTGCAACTCCCAGCAAAATCCCCTACAACTACCAACAATGGGCCCTCTCCTGGGCGTGCATACTGTATTTTTTTTTACTCTAAATCCACCCTTTCACTGAAGAACAGGGTCTGACCAGGAGATGACGCTTCTCTTTAGATCTTAATGTCCAAAAATCATGACAGAAAGAATATTTTAATACAAAGATTGAAGTTGGGACATTTTGAATTGCTACTACGGTAATTGGCATTAGATGCAGATGATATGCCAGATTAATATTTCTCTTTCAAACACACTTTAAAGGAGGAATGTTTTCTACCAAAACAACTAAGGCAGACCTTTGATGATACAGAATATCTACATTCAGGAACCTTATCTCACAGGCGTATTTTTGGCAGACAGGAGCATGAACAGTTCATTACTTGGCATGTGGCGCATGCAGCATAGAATGGACCTGGCTTTGATATTGAAGGCCCTCTCCCCCTCGCTGAGGCCCTCGTTTACCAAACGCACCACCTCATCTGGAGTCAAGTCTCCTCTGTCGAAAGACAAAAACACACAAGACAAATTAAATACTTTCCATTACAGCAAAAAAACTTAATTCATTGATTAAAAAACAACCTAAATCACTCACCTATTCTGGTTCCAAGGAATAGGTTCCACATTACTGTTGGCTAGTAAATGTGGGCTGTATCTGACTTCAACGTAAATGACTCCTTCCTTGGCTTTATCCTCTATGAACTCATAGGCGATCCTCTTTATGGCTTCCCTGTCACCACTGAAAGGGAAACAAAGATAAAAACGCTTTGACCTTTTGGACCTGATGGACTTTTGATCACAATCAAATCGAACCTTAACAACAACTAATCCTTTATCTGAACAGTAATGAGTTCAAAAATGAGCAACAGAAATGCTCACTGATACGATAAAGCATGGTACACACTGTAACACATTTTATGGCTGACTTTTTATCAGAAGTATTTCTGCTTATCATTAACAATTCCATGTATTTTATTCAACATGTCATTTCTGATTAATTTACATAAATCAATGTCCTTTCTCTGGATGTATATACCGACAGGTTTATTTGATGGAGGGTTTTATTTCGATTTATGTTCAAGTGAATTTAGTTACTCTGCAAATTGGTGTTTGGTTTGGTTGATGTGTTTTTTTTGTGTTTTTTTTCCCCTTTTTTTCTTTCTTTTTTTTTTCTTCTTTTTTTTCTTTTTTTGGTTGATATTAATTAGTCTTTTTTTGTCTGTCTGAAATTGTATGAAATAAATTCCTATTTTTATTCATTCATTACACTTAATGTATATTTATATATGAGGATTTTTTTCCCGAAAACCTTTCTAAATGGGTTTATTTTTATTGTAACAATACAAAATAAAACTATTTATGTACATGATATTAATTGATTTTAACTTTAAATTTGAAAAAAATAAATAAAAATAAAGATTAAATATAGATTGTAATTTTAAATTGCATGTGTTGGGCTTTTAAAGGCACACTATGCAACATTTTTCAGTTAATTAATGTGTTCCATAAC